CTACAGTAGTACAGCGAGGAGATACAGTAGTACAGTGAGGAGGTGAGGAGCTGCAGTAGTACAGTGAGGAAGTGAAGGGTGACAGTAGTACAATGAGAATCTACAGTAGTACAGTGAGGAGATACAGTAGTACAGTGAGGAGGTGAGGAGCTACAGTAGTACAGGGAGGAAGTGAAGGGTGACAGTAGTACAGTGAGAATCTGCAGTAGTACAGTGAGGAGATACAGTAGTACAGTGAGGAGGTGAGGAGCTGCAGTAGTACAGTGTGGCGGCCAGTGTGTCACAGGAGTTCTGAGAGAGAGAGCGAGTAAGCTACCCTTAGATGTTTTCATGTAAGAAGTACACTCATCTATAAATTTGTACACTTGGTAATAAACCTTTCAGCTATTATAAAATAAACTGAGAATGGCAATAACCATACCAGCATGCATTTCTTGAAAAAATATCACTCAGAGATTAAACTGAAGGAGACAGGCATTAAGTAATAAATGACTCCTTGTGGAGCTTATATTGAGTAATGTCATTTAACAAAAATACAATTTATAATATGTAGTTAAAGAGTAGAATATGAATCAAGGGATGTTATGAAAAAATTGTACAACAGACTAGTAAGGTCTGATTTAGAATTCTGAGCACATATTTGGTCATATTGTTACAGAAATTATATTATTGCTCTGCAGTCATTCTAGGTAAGAGACTCCAGATACAACATGGGGCTTTCATTGAATGTCCTACACTGACAGACTGAGGGAACTGAGTCTTTTTAGTCTTGAGCAGAGAAGACTGTGAGGAGACCTGGTACAAGTATTAAGGGACTGTCCTACACTGACAGACTGAGGGAACTGAGTCTTTTTAGTCTTGAACAGAGAAGACTGTGAGGAGACCTGGTACAAGTATTAAGGGACTGTCCTACACTGACAGCGGAATGAACTGGGCCTTTTTAGTCTTTAGACTGATACAGTCCAAAGAACAGCTTATAGAACAGAATAGGATAGTCAAGAGAACAGTGTAAGATATCTCTCACTGAACCGAGAGAACTGAAAGCAATTTGAAAGGGTCTACATTTTAAATATCCCTCTCTCCACCCTCTACCTACCCCTTTCTCTCTCCACCTCTCTCCACCCTCTACCTACCCCTCTCTGTCTGTACGTGCAGAGAGGTGGAGGGGTGCTGCGAGCATGCCCTTGGCTGCCTCTCTGCAGGTCAGGCAGTGTTATTCAATCCTGCTCTTAGTCAGCCCTCTATCGATCTGACACCACTCACCCCTCAAGGACGGAAACCTGAGCCTGCCCCCCTCGTCCCTAATCTCCCGCGCCCCCCCCCCAGCCCCGGGGCACCTCAAGGTCACCGAAAG